ACCCCTGGTTTAGATTCACTGGGACTCAGAGCCTCTGCAGGGGTGGAGGGCCGATTAAGATATCCCACCCCATGAGACCTATGGATTCCTAATGACCCTTGCAGAGTTTCCTGTTGCCTTGGCAGGTGATCCTGTTGAAGTCCTGGCAGATCTCTGGAATAGGCAAATGGCCAGGGCTGTGGATATGATTGACCCTGAGCATCCCCTCCCACAAAGTAGAGCCAAACATGCTCCTTGGTTTACTAGGGAGTTGGTGGTGATTAAACAAGTAGGACGGAGACTAGAGTGACGATGGCAGAAAACTCGGAGTGAGTCCAACCGAACATAGGCTAAGGCCCATTGGAAGGCCTATGGTGGTGCAATGGATGCAGCAAAGAAATCACATTTCTCTGCCACCATTGCATCTGCACAGTGTCGTCCAGCTGAGCTGTTTCAAGTTGTCAGGGGCCTTTTACATTATGGAGCCCAAGAAGGAAACAAAGACCACTCAATAACTTGCTGTGAAAAATTTGCAAGACACTTTGCTGACAAAATTGCTCGGATTCGCTCTGACTTGGATGCCATAGTTAACACAGGTCCAGTGGATGTAATCTTGGCCCCTGCTTGTCCCATTTTACTGGATAAGTTTCAATCTGTGCAGCCTGATGATGTGGACAGGATTCTTGGAGAAGTGAAGGCTAGTACATGTATACACTATCCTTGCCCTTTCTGGCTCCTGAAAGCAGCTAGAGCAGGACTGGCTGAGTGGGTAAAGGGAGTGGTGAATGCTTCAATGCAGCAAGGCACATTGCCATCCTGCCTAAAGGAGACTGTGGTGAGGCCATTACTGAAAAAGACGTCCCTAGATCCCACCATTCTGGATAGCTATCGGCCAGTCTCTAACATTCCATTCTTGGGCAAGTTTCTGGAGCGAGTAGTGGCCTTCCAGCTCTAGGAGTTTCTGGACGAAATGGATTATCTAAATCCATTTCAATCTGGCTTCAGACCTAGCTATGTGATGGAGACAGCTTTGGTCGCCTCGGTGGATGACCTCCATAGGGAATTGGACAGGGGGAGTGTTTTCCTGTTGGTTCTCCTGGATCTCTTGGTGGCTTTCGATACCATTGACCATAGTATTCTTCTGAGACACTTTTCTGGGATGGGACTTGGGGGCACTCTTATGCAGTGGTTCCGGTCCTTCTTGGAGGGGTGACTCAGAAGGTGCTGGGGGACTCCTGTTTGACTCCTTGGCCACTGGCTTGTGGGTCCCACAGGGTTCATGTTATTTAACATCTACAGGAAAGCACTGGGAGAGGTCATCTGGAGTTTTAGGGTGTAGTGTCATCAGTATGTGGATGACACCCAACTCTATCTCTCCTTTCCATCTGATTCCAAGGAAGCTGTCTCAGTGCTGAACCAGTGTCTGCAGTCAGCAATGGACTGGATGAGGGAAAACAAATTGAAACTTAATCCAGACCAGCCCCTGGCCGGTCCCACCAATGCCGCCCAGAGCGTGCTGCCGCCCCCATGCTTGTGCACGCATGCGTGTGAGCGCAGGTGCCATCTTTGAAGGCCCCACGGCAAGGCCCCAGGCAAGGGCCCAACGTGCATGTGTGGGGCAAATTCGCCCCACGCAGGCGCCCTGGGACCTTGCCAGGGCACAGGCAAGGCCCCAGCACACATGAGTGGGGTGAATTTGCCCCACGCAGGTGCCCTGGGGCCTTCCAAAATGGCGCCCCCCCCGCGCAGACGCATGCGCACGATGGCGGGCATTGTGTCCATACGTGCCCGCCCGGCCCCCGCGCCATTCCCCCCAGCCCCCCGGCAACAAAGGTTGCTGACCCCTGCCCTAAGCTCTTCAGGAGGAGGCTTTCTCTCGATTCTGCCACCATCACAGGTTTTCCTGGATGAGAGAGAGAGAAGAGAGAGCCTTCTCGGTGGCTGCTCCTGCAAGGCTGGCCCCCTCCTTACTTGCCTTTCACAGGCAGGCAAAAACAGCTCTTTTCAGGCAGGCTTTTAATGCATAATGCAAAATTATGGCATGGATTTTATATGGGTATTGTGGTTTTAATGTTTGTATTTTATATTTTTTTAGCTGATGTTTTTAATTGTTTTATTGTGATATTGGTTTTTTTAGAATTTTATTTGTGAGCCACCTTGGGTCCCTTCGTGGAGAAAGTCGGGATAGAAATTAATTAATTAATTAATTAATTAATTAAATATTGGTTTATTTCTGCAGTGTGGATACAGCCATAGACTAACAAACCCACTAACGATCAGTGTAACACAAAGAGGATCAAATATTACAGGTTATTTATTAGAATTATGTTAATATTTATTTAAGCATCCATAACTGTATACTCTGAATTTCAGAAAGTTACTTTTTGAACTACATCTCCCAGACTCCATAGCCAAAATGGCCGTTGTAGTTCAAAATGTACCTTTACTAAGCTCCAGGCATCCAGTTTGTCCTGTTCAGCAGGCGTAGGCAGAGAGAAGCGCAACAAGTAATTGTTACAGGATTATTATTACAGGAAGTAATCAGGCATGGATTTTTGTGTGGAAAGATTGTAATCTTAATTCACTTCTGGGATTCAAAATGAATGCTAGGAGTCAGAATTCTTTAATTCTGAGCTGTATCTTTTGCACCAGGCCCTGGTTGATGCCTTACTAGACTCTAATTAAAAAATTACATTCATCCCATAAGAATGTATTACTGATGTTGTCGTGTTTGTTGTTATTTTAATTATAGGTGTAGAAATTTGGAGACTGAAGGAAAATTTCATTGAGACACAATTGTTCTTTGAGGGGCAATGCCCTCATTTTGCCACTCGCCATAGCTATACCTCTGAATTTATTTTTGTTTTTATATGCTTCAGGTCATTTCTGATGGCATTACAGATCTTCAAGGTGAATGGAAGGAAGTGATGGTGAACTAGGGATAAACAGAATAAGTGATCCTGTGGAGGACCTGTGAAGGCTTTCTAAAGAGGAATACATTTTGAGAATTGGCAATAAGTGGGAAAAGTGTGTGCTGTGGGTAGGATGCCATTTGTATCTGCAAAGGTCCTTATGCCCTCATTCCCAATTTTTTTGTGCGGTGGGATGGGCAGAATTTGTTTGCTCCAAATGGTCCAAAACACCTTGCTGCCTCTTCAAGCTGGGTTGCCAAATATTCAGGGGCATTTGGGGAGGGATCACCTTTTTCAGGATTGAATACTCTTCAAAGGTAGTCCAATGTAGTGTGTTTTGTTGTTGGGTGCCTTCAAGTCGTTTCCAACTTATGGCAATCCTAAGGCAAACCTATTGTGGGGTTTTCTTGGCAAGTTTCTTCAGAAGGGGATTGCCATTGCCATCCTCTGAGGCTGAGAGTGTGTGACTTGCCCAAAGCTACCCAGTGGGTTTCACGGCCAAGCTAGGATTCAAACTCTAGTCTCCATAGTCCAATGCTCAAACTACTATACTACATTGGGTCATACAGTGTGTTACAGTAGTCTAAATGGGATGTAATTAAGGCATGTACCACCTTGGCCACATCCAATATCTGAAAGAATAGCCGCAGTTGATGCACAAACTTTACATGCGCAGAAGCATTCCTAACCACTGCAGAAACCTGTGCCTCTAGGTTCAAAACTTATAAGCTTATTGCACCAGTACGTGTAACATTCCCATCGAGTCCCTGGA